TCATTTTCCTGCGCTGCGGTGTGTGTATGCTGTGGTGTGGTGGTGTTGTGTGTGTGGGGCGGGTGCTGTTGTGGTGTGTGTGGTGTCGCGTGTGTGCGCTGCGTGCGTGTTGCGTGCGGCGTGCGTGCGTGCATACGTGCGTGCCGTGCGTTGCGTGTGTGCTTGTGTCTTGAGTGTGTGTGTGCTTGGGAGTGTATGTGTGTGCGCGCGCGTGTGATGTGCGCTGCGCTGCGTTGCGTTCTGTGGCTTCCGTGCTGTGCGCGTGTGAGTATTATTTTATGTATCGTGCTTATACGCTCATGTGCTAGTACGGTGCATCTTTTGTCGTCCATATACTGGCAGACCTCAGTAAGAGTTGTCGGCGCGTACGGGATAATAGTGGCAGTAGCGTTAATGTGCGCGTGAGTGACTGTACTGACTGACTATCGTCCGTATCTACAGTAAGGCTGATAAGGGGTCTATGTCTTCCTGGCGTACTACCCGAACGTATCCGTAACTATCTTATTGCATGTTGTTTGATGTCATAATTCGATTTTGTTTTATGTGATTTGGAAAGCAGTGGTGACTGTGCTGTAGAAACGCCAGTGAGCGAAAATTCGCACAAAAACATACGAAATGAAAATCAGGCATTTCCTTCCCATTAACACGACACTGACACAACACCACTCATTGTACGTCCTAGTGTGTGTGCGTTATCAACTAGTACTCTCTCTGATTGTTTGCTCCGAAGATTACACAAAATTGCACCATTTATTTAAGACTTTTTCCCCGATTTTTCGAATTTTCGATATGAAAATTACCTCCAGCAGGCAGAACACGACTACAAAAACGACGACCATTTTAGGTATTTACGACTTTTACAAATATCACTATTAGTAAAAAAAATGACTTTTGATATTGCACTGACGTTACTAAAATAGTATCCCTGCACAGTCTATTGGACGCAGAACTGATAAAAGTCACCAACTAGTGGTGTTGGACGGAATTGGCAAGTCTTTCCTCTGTCTCTGACCCAACCGGCCACAGCGGTCTAGGCTGCAGCAACCGCAGAGCACATGGTTTTACACCGGCAGACGACACTGCCTTCCCACTCAGCGCCATCTTGTGGCCTTTAATAGAAACTTTGCCCTCGGACGGCGGTTCGTCCACTTTCGCGCGACTAGGAAGTGCTGCCCTCTGGTGCATCTGAACCATGGATGAGCTTCTGAAAAATGTTAGACGGCGTATCACGTCTTCTGTATGTTCCTGCACTGGGTTTGGTTTTTTTAAATCTTTTTGTAATTAGTTTTTTTATCCATCGTTTTGCTTACTCACTTTTTTATATGCTGCACATCGTAGTATTCGTTCACAAGCGACAAAATTAATCATTTGTCTTAAGACTCGCTCCTCACTCGTTCGTTACTCACTTTTTTATATGCTGCACATCGTAGTATCAATTCACAAGCGACAAAATTAATCATTTGTCTTAAGACTCGCTCCTCACTCGTTCGTTACTCACTTTTTTATATGCTGAACGTCGTAGTATTTGTTCTTAAGCGACAAAATTAATCATTTGTCTTAAGACTCGCTCCTCACTCGTTCATTACTCACTTTTTTATATGCTGAACGTCAAAGTATTTGTTCTTAAGCGACAAAATTAATCATTTGTCTTAAGACTCGCTCCTCACTCGTTCATTACTTACTTTTGTATTTGCTGTACATCGTAGTAGCCGTTCTCGACAAGCACGCTTTCTACGACGGACTGAAGATGTCTGTAGGTCACTCCAGGGCAAGGTTCTTCGTTCGACAATACTACAATCAACGAACATAAATCGCGTGATCATCTATGTCAGTACGATTACTTGCTACGCTTTACGATGATGATAAAAGAAACATAAAAATATATGCTGCCTAATAATATTTAATAAGAATTATTGATATATTAATTATAATATTAATATGATATTAAACACGTCATTATAACTTCGATGTTTGTGCGCATGCTTGCCAAGTCACCCGTGGCGTCTGCACACACACCTGATGGTTTATTGATGACGTAGTGTGGTTCCAAAGTGCCAAAATCGACTAGTTCCTCACTTCCACTTATAATCTGGAATTTAAAAAAAATTAAGGTAAACATTAAAATCATAGAAACTAAAGAAAATCTTGGGTCATAATTACACCCCAGATAATAGCAATACAAGCTGAATTGTGGTAGGCATCCGTCACTCATGTGACATACTAGAATATTTAGAATAGTAAACAAGACAATGCTTGTGGGATGTGGGACTTCGGCCACCCTACAACGCTGGACTGCCGATGTTACAAGAGCGTCAATCAACATTTATCTCGCCAGTTCGTACGCCGTGAAATTCCCCGAGTGATATAAAGATGCGATCGCATCGTGCGTCGCGGTTGTTACGCGTTGTCATGCCAACCTTGGACAACTCTGTCTTTATGTTCGTAGATCCCAACTTCTGTGCAAACAGTTTCTGCTTGAAGCATTCCACCAGGTGGCGCCTGGGGCTACGCTTTAGCGACGGTGGCAGCTGCAACGCAAAACGATAAAGTGTCGGACGATTACAAACCGCGCGTGTTGTCATTTTAAAGTACAGTGAATGTAAATGAAAAAAACGTTGCTGGTAAAAAGCGACGCTTTACGAAGCATCAATAAATCATCCGCACGTCTTATAACTTATTAATCGTGTTTGCTGCGCAGTTGTGTTTGTTGTTCTACTGCTGCTGTTACTGCTGCGGCTGCTACTGCTGCTGTGGCTGCTGCTGCTGCTGCTGCTGCTGCGGCTGCTACTGCTGCTGCTGCTACTGCTGCTGCTGTTACTGCTGCGGCTGCTACTGCTGCTGCTGCTACTGCTGCTGCTGTTGCTGCTGCTGCTGCTGCTGTTGCTGCTGCTGCTGCTG